TACTATCTACATACACTATATATATTATTATTAAGTAAGTAGTAGTATATAATAATAATAATATTATAAATAAATAATAATAATAATATATATATATATATATATATATATATATATATATATATATATATATAGATATGTATATTTTTTGCTTCTTATTAAAGAGGGCGCAGCTGCTTTTAATTGTGTGGTTTGAGGTTTTCTTAGTTTTAGAACCAATTTATAAATCTTTTGTTTTTCTAAAGAAATACTAATAAGAACTTTAGATAATCATAAAGTCTGGTTGTTACTACAGTCAACTAAAAAATGATTACATTTTGTCAAAAGATTATTTATTTACCATTACCATCTAGTTTTAGTGTGTTATTTTCACGAAACACAAATATGGTCGCTAGAAATCCAAAAATTATTTATAGGCCGAACAATACTGGTATAGGAACGATAAGAAAAAACAGTTATTCAATTTCTAATGCAAAATTTATGGATAATGGTGCAAAAAATGTTTTGGTATTGTCAAATACCACTCGAAACGTATTCACATTTAAAGAAAAATGTAGGCGCAGTATAAGTTATACTAAAACGAGTATAAAGTTTGCACCAAACAAACTTCTACCATTTGAGGTTGAAACAAACATATCGAAAGATGTAATACTATTCAAAAACGAGAAATCAGTGTTCTTCAAACTATTAAGTTTTTTTGGTATAATTCAGTTTGTTTTTTGGATGTACTTAGGGCATTTTTCATTCACAAATTTACGTGACATTAGTCAAAGTGATGTAGAAAAGCAAATTGGTAAACAGAAAAATGAACCTCGTGGATTGTCATTTTGGAAGAAAATAAACTTGGGTGAAAATAAATATCGTTATGGCATTACACTACTCTGTTTTAGTGTAGGTGAGAAAATAAGTCATTTTCTATATTACTTAAAGTTTCAGAATTTATTTAAAAAAATTTCTACTCCTAGGCCATTTAACAGTCATGTAATATTTTCTTCAAGAATATCATAAAGTTAGTTTAATAACATAATATACAGACAAGGTGCCATTAAGTTCTTCAAAGCTTTCCTTTCACACTTATCCTTGCAAAAAATAAACATTTAAACCCATCCTTTATTTTTCAGGATATCGAAGATTCACCTCTTAAACTTGTAAAGTGCCAACCTTCATTGCTGTGGATGGCAACTTATTCCACTAGTCAGAATTTTCCTGTTAGAACAATAAAACTTTCTTAACTGAAAGTTAGCCTGTTTTATTCCAAATTTTCAACTTATGTTCTGTCATCTTATTGACTTCAGAATACAACACAAAGAAGTCAGAACCTTTGTTTTATTGATCACCCTGATAATCTTGTAAACTTCAATAAGATGATCTTTTACCATTTTCTCAAGATAAAATAAGTTGAAGAGATTTTAATTTATTCTTACAAGATAACACTTCCATCCATGGGAGTCATCCTAGTAGCCCTGTTCTGAACCTTTTTCAGTAAGTCAATATATTTTCTTAAACAAGATGACCTAAAGTACACAGTTTACCAAATTCTAACTATTGTAGTTATTTGTACAGAGAGATAATTACCTCTTTTGACATCTGATTAGTATGTGTATAAATATACCCAAAAAGTCTAAAGACTTGATTATCTTATCCACCACTGTAACAAGATGTTTATGTAGTCATGCTAATAAGTGGGTTCCCATTTGTATAAAATCTGTGATCAAAATTCCTTGCACTTTCTATTACCAAAGGTCATTTGCCTTATATTTGTCTAACTTTCCCAGTCATTCTATGATAACTCAACATCCTAGAAGATAGAAATACCCAAAAGTTTAGTGTTATCAGCATACTTTAATAATGTACTAATTATTCCATTGTCAACATGATTAATGTAAATAAAAAATCAAAGGCCTAAGCACTGAGTAGACTCCATTGATAAAAACTTTTGCTTTCTCTCATCTAACCACCATTTAACTAGTCCTTCCTAAGCCCCTACTGAGGTGACTTTCTTAAGTAAACTTCTGTGTAGCACCTTATCAGTACTAACTACAATCATGTATCATTAGTAATTTAATGTAGTTCCTGCTTAAAGTTCAAAACGTTTAATGTTTTATTTAAGATTTGTGTGGTATTCTAAACACTAGTATCTGATCTCAGGATCAGTTATGTTTCATATGTACTTAATAACTTCATGACAAGTTTACTGATTCACTGTTAATATTAACTTCAGATTAATAGCAAGTCACCTGTAAAGACCACAACTGTATATATATATATATTTATATAGAAAGAGAGAGAGACACACACACCTAGTAGTGAACAGAGCTAATGTTCAAGCTGTGACACTTATAATGATTAGAATGCATTGTTTCATCAGTTGGTAATTTTTGATGTTAATGTTATTTTTGGTTGTCGTCCCAGTGTTATCTCAAACTAAAACATTCTTCTACTTGTACAAAGAATTTAACATTTCTTCAATTTTCATGCTTCCTGTCATTACCTTTTAGGTACATACTTGTACCAAAGCATGTTTTTCCACCACAAATTTCAAAATATAGTGTATTGTAAATTAGGTAACATTTTTCTAAAAGTTACAGGACCTTTACTTTTTTGAATTAAATCATCTTCTGATACATATTTCTTTTCATTCTTACCAGGTTACCTGATAGCAGTTGGCACTAGCCTGTACACTCTTCGCTCAGTTAGGTACTTGATTCTTCTCAGAGGAGGAGAAATGGCTCGCTTGGTTACTTATACACCTTTTGGAGGTAATCGAATCATTGATGTATCGCTACGAGACCTGTCTTGCCAACAAGCACGTGACCAGGCTACCTCATTCCTTTCACTGAAAGTTCGTAATCGTTGGATGTTCTTTTTAGTTGATAAAAGAGGGATTTTTCTAAATCCAAAACTCTTTGATAGTACCGTTGGATTATACAGAACACTGAAATGATCTAATTGGTTTATTTTTCAGTTCTAACGATTTTTGATACTGATATTAGGAAGTAAATTTAATACAAAAATTATTATAAATAAAGGAATTTTTCTGTAACAATATTATGTCATATGTTTTACTAATTTCTTAACTTATGAGAGTTTTTTGGTCACACATGGCATTCTTGCATGTTTTCATTTCTTTATAATAAATAATGTGTAGAAAATTTAGTTTTTACCTATAATAAAAATGGAACGTGTAAAAACCTTTCATATGAATGGTTTTTAAATAGCATCTTCCATTCTACTAAAGCATGCATCTACCATAAAATAAAATTTGAGAAGCTACAAAACTGCAAAATCATCTTTTGTTTACAAATTTTTTGTATTTTTGATAACTTGCTCACATCTGAAATACATGTATTTGGTAAATCCTAATGAGAGAGAGAGAGAGGGGGTTAATATTGGATCACGGAAATCTGCATACATTTAGAAAACTATATGAAGATTGTTTTTCAATTGTATATACTTGTTTCATAGACAGAGATTCTTCCAAATATCGTACATGAATAGGTAAGATGAAGTTAACATTATTGGGTGTACGTTTAACTTCATTTTAAACAGTGGTATAATAACAACGAAACATCAATGGCTATTTCTTTTTTTAGTTATATGAATCAACATTAAATGAATCTTTGAAGTTTAATTATTATGATGTTTTATATACTATTAGGCTCATTTATTGCCTGACAATGATAGAAGAATGAATAGAAGTTTTTTTTTCCAAAGATTTACTGATTTTGTAAACAAAACATCAAATGACCAGTTTTGTTCAGGTGGTTCAACTATAAGATGTCAGCAATTTTTACTACAGTTTTAAAGCAAGTTTCTGTACAAATATTTTTCTTGTTACATGAATGTTATTAGGGTATTAACTGATCTATTCATTACATAGTTCTGCTAAAAGAAAAATATATGTATATATAAACTGAACTCACTTGTGGTGTGTGAAAATTATTTAAGTTTTGAAAAACAGGTAGAACTACACAGTAGTTCTTGAAGTTATGCTATCACACAGAATAGGTACTGCATTATCTAGCCCAGTGATGCTCTCTATTAGCTTCCAAACATAATAGCATTATTCCTGGTTGTATTAAAAGAGTTCATCATTATGTAGTTTAAATAAGCATCACACCCGATGGCCGTGTTGCTACATGTTGTCATGGTAACAGCAGCAACTGTCCCATCATGCTACAGCCACTCACTCATGGAACTGTACATCCTTACTAACTTTTCAAAAACTAATAAGGAAGTAACTAGTTTAAGACCAAACTATAATGAAATGGGATCTCATACCTGAATTTCAATTTCATTATGTATGGTCACATCCACTTACTATCTGATCTGAAAATATCCAAACCTGACCAAAACTACTGTTTTGCCCCATTCCTACTAAGTACCCATATTCATGGATAGTTAACACTTCTTCACTGGGTATACTTCCATGTTGTTAACTTCAATTTATTGATATTTAATTTCATTTTTAATGGGTACATATTTCAGTTTCAGAAAACTAGCAAAAAAATTAAAGTCTAAATGGTTGGTCTTACCTTGCATCTGAAAATACTTTTTTTTCCTTTCTTTTTTTGGATTACATTTCTTGAAGATTCCATTTCACTTTTTCATATTTTAAATTTTATGTTCACGTATTAGATACTAATCACTGTATTTATTATAGTTGAATTTTCGGGATGCCTAGGGAGAAAGTACATAGTTAAGTTACTTTTTTTTGTAAGTATAGCTATGCTGTAATGGTTTTGAAATGTTTCTTGAAAAATTTATTGCTTTTGCTGTTTGTTTAAGTTATTAATAGCATTCTTTTTTGTGTGTGTGATGTTTTTGTTTTCATTAAATAACACTTTTAAATTGAATGAAGTAAAGCAATCAAGTTAACAGGATAATTATAAAGAAAATTCCACATTTAAAATATCACTTCTCAAAAACAACTTGTGTTAGGCAAACTTAAATTTCTCCATAATCACAATGAAAATATCATATTTTAATACTGGAACCTAATATATCTAACACCGTAACAGAAAGCGTTCACTATGTCTTTCACCATATCAAACCTAACCCTAAGTAAACCTACTGCAGGCATCATTTGTTCTAAATAATGTTCATGGATCCTAACAATATCTTGTTTAAAAGAACAAGATAAGTATAAGTAAACCTACTGCAGGCATCATTTGTTCTAAATAATGTTCATGGATCCTAACAATATCTTGTTTAAAAGAACAAGATTAGTAAAAGCAATGTCAAAATTAGAGATGTGATTTAGGTGTGCAGTATATGTTAAATTTAGAGAGATGTGATTTAGGTGTGCAGTATATATTAAATTTAGAGAGATGTGATTTAGGTGTGCAGTATATATTAAATTTAGAGATGTGATTTAGGTGTGCAGTATATGTTAAATTTAGAGAGATGTGATTTAGGTATGCAGTATATGTTAAATTTAGAGAGATGTGATTTAGGTGTGCAGTATATGTTAAATTTAGAGAAATGTGATTTAGGTGCACAGTATATGTTAAATTTAGAGAAATGTGATTTAGGTGCACAGTATATGTTAACTTTAGAGAGAAGTGATTTAGGTATGCAGTAAAATACAGTTTTGAAACACCCTGTACCATATCCAGACTTTCCTGAAAAACACTTATGATTTTCAGTGTGCCTATGGTGAAATTTATTTTATGTAGCACAAGTAGTTTTGTCGTCCTTTTTAAGTGTGGAAGCTTTCTTTAATTACACTTATGTTAGCTTATGCTTGAATATAGTTATTTTCTTATTTGTTACTTAACTATTTTTTGTTTTGAACAAATTAAATTTTCTGGTTATTAGAAATTCAATTTTCTTAAAGAGTTTACACCACTTCCAGAGTTTAGTATAAAGAAGGTGTTTTGGTATCACATGCAATTTTTTTTAATAACACCTGTGGTGTGTGTGAAATAAAGTAAATGAATCTGCCATGCTGCCTAAAATATATTGACACATACTGTAATCCATTGTTCTTACTAGGGTCCCACAGTGAAGGGTCTGGGATTCCCAACTTTTTTTTTTTCAAGGGTCCCATAGATAGAATTTAATAAACTCCAAAAATAGTGGGAAAAAAAAAGCATTTCAGTGTCAATGAAAAACTTGATTTACAATGTACCCTACTTGTTTACCTTCTGCAAGTGGAAAAGGACGTTATTGTTAATATTCAATGAAAAACTGTCTCTACAATTTACAAATTACACTGCATGTTGTTTCTCTTTATGAGTGCAAAGTAATTTTCATGATAATATTAAAAATACTTTTCTTGATATGAAAATTTTCAAATAGCATTTGCATAACCCCTACAAGCTCCTAAATAAATATTTTTTTTTACTGAAAAACGTTATATTTTATCTGTTGTTTTCTTTACCCTAACTCTTATACGAGTCGGTTGATTTGACCGACCTTGTAACCACCATAAAAAATTAGGTAATAATTATAAATTTCCCTTATTTTCTTTCTGGAATAACTGCAAGTTGTAACAGAAAACCACAGTTGTTTATCCTAAGTAGCTTAAAGCTTGTAACAGTATACATCTATTTCTACTTAAATTTTAATGCCCATTGAACTAACTATTACTATTAGTATTATTTGCGCCATATAAATTACAAATCACGTGGTGAACTTGCAGCTCACATTACGGTATCGAATCACATAATGCCCGAACTACTCGCGAGCGTACATCTTAAAAAGCTATTATTATTTATTTTACCATAGCTAACCTAAAAAGTTTTCAATTTTTACATTTCGATTTCTTTTACAATAATAAATCAAGAATACACATGAAAAACAAAAAGTAAAGTACATACCTGTTTTTTGTTGTTGTTTTTTCTTTCAACTGTCATTGAACCCTATTATTTCTATTTAATTAAATAATTCACCAAAGAACATAGAATAATAACATACAAAAAAGAAACAGTGTTCTATAACTATCATAATTTTTCTGACTTTCTAACTTGCGAGAAAAGCCGTTAAAATTTCAGTTAAGCTCGTCGATGTGTTTCCCATGGGAATCACGTTTGAACTAGACGGAAAATAGGCTATTCTCTGTACAACAATGTAATATAACAGATCATTTGGTAGAAAACAACTTTGACTTTCTATTGGCTATAAATAATATAATCTTAAATGTTAGAGAGAACTATTGGCAAGTTCTGAAGGAGAGGGTGTGGCAAGATGGATCTGATTTTCTATTTTATTGTTCTGTAACTAAATAAGATTGAAGGCTATATAAATTACGCTTTGCCTGAACGATAAAAATATTATAATAAGTAATTTACATTAAATTTCATACTTCTCGAAGGGGTGGTGAAAACAATTAGAGATGAGGGAAGACATAGATAAACTTCACAATTCTCATACTATGGGAGATTGGTTTTTTTTTCATATTTCCTTTTAAAATTAAGAACTAGAACTTAAATAATACTACACCTTGATTTATTATCTACGTTCTGATGCCGAGTTTATTCATATACATTGATAATAATGTAGTTTAATTAAATTTTGAACGTAACTCTGTGAAAGGTTGTGACATGAGCACCTTTACCTACCCGAGGTAACTGGTTTGTTTTCAGTTTCGCGCAAAGCTACACGAGGGCTATCTGCGCTAGCCGTCCCTAATTTAGCAGTGACAGACTAGAGGGAAGGCAACTAGTCATCACCACCCACCGCCAACTCTTGGGCTACTCTTTTACCAACGAATAGTGGGATTGCTCGCACATTATAACGCTCTTACGGGAAGCATATTTGGTGGGACGGGGATTTGAACCCGCATTCGAGGTAAGAAAAAAAAAGTTGATCGTGTGGTACTTTCACGTGGCTTTATTTTCGTGCAATTTATTGTGATTGAAGAAACCTGTTAGAAGTTGATGGTGGACAGCTGTGTGAAAACTATGCGCTGTTATGATACAAAGTTCGAACTTCGAAGCAAAGTGCTTGCCTTGCGTATAGAACATTTTGCGGTGCGTATTCGGTACCCGGAGGGCCAAATCTCATGCGTCTCGACAAATTCTCGTACGTACGGGACCCAGGAGTTCGGGTTAACCAGAACCCAGCTGTAATCAAAACAAATTAATTGCCTATGTCTTTTGTAAGCTTGAACTTTTCAATTTCTAATAGTTTCTAAAGTATGATGCCCTGACAATTACAATTATGTAGCACTTTAAGGATTTAAACCCCCTTTTTTTTTCTATCCTAATAGCACATTTTGTTTTTTGGAAAGTTTACTAGGTTTCTTCATATTTTGAATGAATTTTCATAACAAACTTAGCGCAGAAACTTAATTTTTTCCTAAAATATTTAAGGTAGTCTCTCTCCAGATCCCCAGTGTTCCCACTTTTAACTTTCACATTAATTAGCAATATAAATAAAACATTAGGATTTGTTTGCTCCCCTTGCAATGACAGCAGTTTTACTTACAAAGCTATGGCAAAAACCAATCAGATTGATGCATTTATCCAAGAAGAAAGCTCACATGTGATTCCTAATGAAAATGTCCCTATTATACAATTGTTTGAATCTGTTGATATATAGAAGCAATTGGATGGCATTGAAAGGCAAATAGCAGAACAGTGTGCAGAATTAAGCAACGAATCAGATCCAGAACCTGGTTTTGGCTACCATATAAAATGTTGACTAGGACTTCTATAGACTATGTTTGTGGGAAAAGTGCTGCTCCAAGAAAAAATGAGCGCGAGTTTACTGAACAGTGCATTATTTGCAAGGATAAAAAGTACATTTTGACCAAGCAACCAATGAAAAGAAGGAATGAAAGAGACTTTCCATCTGTGAATACTACTCAGGTAATTGAAATGAACACACTCTAATATAGCACTAGAAGTAGAAATTGGAAGAAGACAATTAAAGTTTATACAGAAGAGTTTAATGGAATATTTATTCCAATTGGCACTTGACGTACAGCATAAATATATTTATTGGGGTTTTTATTCTTATACTTTTTTTTTTACTGTAATATAAGTCGAGCTTAACAGTGAACACCTCAACCTTTTTTAAAACTTGTATAAAAATATTGTTACGTCTCCGTTTGTTAATTAACTTTCCATAACTTCGTTCCGACGAAACTTTATTGACACAAGTCCTTACTTAATAAAACTGGTTTATTCTTTCTGAATATAACTTTACGATACACTCAACTTCAACAGTCGCGC